ATTTTAGAAATATTTTTTTAATATTTTATTAATATTACTATAATCTTATAAAAATATCACTATAATATTTTATAAATTACTTTTAAATTTGACAAGCAATTTTGATATTTTTAAGAACATAATTTGTTCAACTCATTGTATTTTCCTTAGTAACAGAAAACATTTATTTTTTATATAAGTTAGGTCACTATTAGAGACTTTGGGAAAGCATTAATTCACATTAAATATTATATAAAAAAAAGAAAAAAATATTAATTTATTAATTTATATAATAATTTGTATATAATGTTAAAGCTAAAGTTAAACCTAAAAAAGATCCAGTTGCTTACCAATCAGTGTTTAAAAGAGTAAGCCTAATAGTAAGATAACTAATTATATTCTAATAACAAATAATAATAATTATTCATAAAAATATCAATAGAATACCAAAAATACTGAACGTGAAATAAAGCTTATTATAAATAAAATATTATATACCTTAACATATTAAAAGTTCACACACTGGTAATGACTTTAATATTCCAAGATTTTTAAGTCGATGGTATGTTTGTCACATTTCTTAATTACAACTTGAGTGTCTTCTTCATTTTCTTGAGCAATAAGAATATTTTTAGTAACTTGACGGACAAATGCACTGAGTTTTGTTACGATTATAATTTCTTTTCTTAATTTTACTATATCAATTACTTTTAAATGCAGTTAAAGTAATTGTCACCACACATTATCAGCAACAAATTCATTTAATTCATTATATGGTTCTTTCACCCTATTTTATTAATATTTATTAATTAATAAGTTTAGCTGATTTTAATAATAAAGAGAACAATTAAATAATATTTTAATACAAACATTTCGTGTGTTATTTTGAACTCATTTACAAGCTTACAACAAATATATAAAATTTATATTGGTAAGTGTTAAACCATCCGCCTATATCTTTAACCAAACTTTTTAACCTTATATCAGTTTTGGTTATTTTACATACTTGAACAATTAGCTCTTTATATAATTCTGTTGT